ATAGTATGGTATCGCGTCAAGGGTGACAATGTGCAAAGGCATATATAATGGTTCGGTCGGGAAGAGAAGATAGCGGTTATACTAGGCGCATTGCAACTCGGGAACTGTTCGCACAAAAGTGAACTGGAGCGACGATGGTATCGGGTAAGATATTAGGAGATTGAGAGAAATCATCAAAGGGAGGGATGAGAGAAAGAAAAGAGAATTTGGAGCTTTTGCGCCGAAGAAGACGGTGGCCAACCATGCGAGCCGTTCAAGGACCGTCCGATGGTAAGATCTCCAGTGGGGCGAGAATGTAAGTAGACTAAGGAGCAGGAGTGGTAAGTTGGCGGACTACTCAGTACAGCACCTATATGGGTACGTAAGGTAGTCTAGGTCATTAGACTACTTGAACGGCCAAAAGAACAGACTAATAATGCATGAACAGGATGGCAATTACTACAGACTACTGACTTGGTGTGACCTTGTCAACTCATCGGGGAGAATCCGCTCTAGAACTGATTTCATTTCATCTCCTGCTCTTACGACCCCTTTTAAGACTTGAAGATATGTAGGGATAAGGTACTAGCTTGGAGAGGCGATACTTTATTCGAATGGGGCCACTGGTCAACATTCTTCCCCATAGAATCCTCCAATGACGCGGTCATTACAGGCAAACAATGGACAATTGCCCTTACTGCAATTAGTATCTTGAATAATGTCCAATGTTCTCCATAGATAGGCAATTGCTATCGCGCGATTTTGCTCCTCCTCCCCTCCCCTGGTCATGCCATGCGCAAAGATCCCTCTGGGGTTTTAGTGCGGTGTCGGGGACTCTAGCCTGCGGGGCAACCCAAAACATCCTGCAGAGGGCAGACCTCCAGGATTTGCCTCGCAGGTGGTTGGCGGCTGCTTTTATTATTATTGGCTGTGGTTTCTTTGATGGACACATACCCGGCACGTCTCATGTGATGCAGAACGTCTCTAGACAAAACTTTCTCACGTGGGCAATGTGACAAATCATTAACCTTGCATTTGATATCCTGAGTCAAAGTACAAGGCACACGGTGCACGCTGCAACCTGCGCACAGATTCAATTTGCTGGCGCTCATATCGCTGGGAAGCCCTGGGTGTAGGTGTAGGTCTGTGTCTATGCCTGGATTGGTTTCCGGCGACACTTCTTCAAGAACTCCTCTGTTTCATCTGCAAGGTCGTCAAGTCGTCCAGGTACCTAGTCACCAGGAGTCATGCTAGGATCAGGATGAACAAGTAATTCCCCTCATGCAAGCTTGCCTCCGGTACACTCGGTATCACCGTCAAGGTATTCACGGAAAGGCTTGTTCAAACGGCAGAAGGCGCACATTGGCTGGGTCGGAACAACGGCACAATTCATAATGCTGCAAGAGCAGATATTATTACCATTGTCTCCGACGCCTTCTCAATATTGGTATCCCATGATATGCTTTTGTATCGCATATAGATGATTAGGATGGGCACATTATCTAGTCTATCTCTCCGACTCACCGAATCGGGCGCGATATGGAGAAACTGAGAGCTTGGATGACGTCATCCGCCGTTGGGAGTATCTCAGCTGCAGCATTGATGTGTCAAAATGGACCACGGTACCTCTCTAAGCCTCTCTGGGTACAATGGGTTTTCATTCAAGCTGCAGATGTGATGCCGGATCCAAAATTATCATCTTTCCTCAAAGTGTGAATCTTATAAACAGTCCTTACTCTGTGCTTACACATATTGATACAACTAGAGCCAGCATATATATGGGTCATTGCGAGCAAATATCTCTCGATGCGGTTCAAATATGCTATGTCACTGGAAGTCGTTTCAGATGGACTTCCATAAATATTGCTCCAGCTGGCAATGTTGCACTGCTGTCTTTGCCATTGTAGTAGAGCTGCCATGCTTGGTGTTCTTCACTATTGGGCAACTGCACAGCCAGCCACTGATTATCATGTAGTGTCACGTATTCCTGCTCATCTTGTGTAGCATCCCAAGGCCCGCATATCTGATCCTCGCTATCTTCCCGACTCCCATACCGCATTTCAGAGGTCGCTACATCGCAGAATACCCATCGCAGAGTGGGTGGGCACTCAGCTCCGATGCAGACGAATCCTGATGTGTTCCCTCGCCCAAACGCAGGGTGTGGGTAGAAGCCACCCTTGAATAGGACCATCTCTGGGCTTGGATGTCTTGTAATATACAACTGCGCATTGTCAGGTAAGACCCATCACGCAATTCTAGTTGAAACGACATACTTTCCTATTTGGATCCGCATAAACTTTGGCACCCTCAAGCTGGAGTCGATCCTTTATTGAGCCATCCTGGAACTTCGTTACGACTTGCAGATTGGACGGCTGTGTCCGATTATCTGCCTGCCTGCGCTTCTCATCCTCGCGTTTCAGGTTGTGGTCATCTCTTCGATTATGCTTGTCATCCTCCGTAAGCCCCACTAGGCCTGGTATCATGGTTGGGATCATGGTTGACATCATGATAATGTTGACGATTCCAAGAACCATTTTGATGCAATGGAGAACTCCCTTTGATGCTAGCGTCAGAGTTAAATCCAGGCATGAGTGATGGCGTTCGACCTGCGGGATATTTAATAGTATTGGGGTTCGTTGACAACTTTGCCTGAACGACATGGTGGGATTACCGTTTGCGGCAACTACACCCCAATCAACGACCATCGCCTCTTCATGACAACCAGTCGGAATCACGCACTCCACTAATAATATCTTTGATAGGCTTTCCAAACTTTAAGGTCGAAGCTCTGAGGCGAATTGACTCCATGATCTCACCTAGTAGTGGCTCATGGTGTGGGACGAATCACTCTTCCAGAGCCGAAGCTCCGATAAAAGAGCTGCACTTCGCAGATAAAATTCCATCGAGTTGTCTTCGCGCAGTATCCCCTTTTTTGTCCTTCACAGGAGCAATAATTGAATCTTGACGAACCACAAATCTGAGTCCACTCCGTCACAAGAAGTGCTTCTGACTCGAAACATGGGTGCGGAGTAAGTATCATGTTACCTATTCATTCCCTAACGCAACGTTTTCACCTGCCAAATGTACTGTGCTGATTCATGGTCATATTGAAATGTCCAGCGACGAGAAGAAGGACAAACAACTCTCGGAGAATGACGGCTTCACAACGTTCGCCAAAAATGACCCAAGCTCAAAGAATAAGAAGAACCAAGATTCTAACCTGAAGATTACCATTCATCTGGATCTGGTCGCCGAAGTCGATATCAAGATCAAGGCACAGCTATATGGTGATATTGTGATTGGTTTGCTTTGAGTTGCTGGGATGACCACCATAGCTAGTTTAAGTGCGAGTTAAATCCGAACATCTCGACTTGATCGTAATTGTGTGTGCCTTCATCATATCAGAGTGCAAGATATTTGAAAGATTGGCTAGCCAGCTGAAACGCTCCTCTGAGTGGTGAAATTGGGTGGTAATGGTAGAGCAACGCAGTGCACATCAAACCATGTGATTTCAAGCCTTTAGTCTTAGGGTCGGGCTTTGCGCGAGGCTCAGCGCTATGTGTAGAATGGACGTACTTTTGGCGATTTTTGATGCATTGATATGTTGATTCTGGCCGTTTCTCAAAATGGTATTCCCCCACCATCCACTGACTCGGAAACACCCTGGTCATGTTGATCATCCGTCACTTGTCTGGTGATCAACCGCGTCATTTGTTAGTCGCCATTTCGGGTTTCTCAAGATGTTTAGAAATTGATGGAAGAAAAGAGTTAGGACTAGTCATCCGATATTCGTTTCAATGGGTTTGATTTCACTAATGTACTGTGTAGTTAGACGTGGAGGAAGGGTGGAGCGGAAACAATGTTCCAATCAACTAACAAGGGGACCGTCATGTTATACGCTTGTCAACAGAGGAGAATGATTGCACATCATTGCGCCCCAAAGGACAGTCAGCAAGGCAAGACATAGTTAGATGGGGACCAGGCCTGTTGGTAGGATCATGCCGCCTTTAGTTCCCGGGGATCGACCAAATGCTTGCTTGCCGTTGGTAGTGTGATAACAGTCTACTCCCATATGTGGGCTCCATTCTGCTGCGGAATTATCTCATTGACTTGACAATGAAGATGTGTTTGGGTTCCGCAGATAGTAGCCCTCGAAGCGAGCTTGCGAAGTTGTCACTGGTGGCCTTGTCCGGGGGAGTAGAAGAGAATCGTGTGGTTCATGACGGATAAAAAGCATGGCTGGGGCGGATGCGAGATAGATAAACAAAGGCGAGAAGAAGTTGACGATGACGAATTACCTCTCTGCATTTTCGGTTGCTCGAAATTGAATTCTAGCAAGAAGCTTTTTAGATAGCGAAGATTAATTGTAATCGTATAAACGGTGCTCAACATATGTATCTACCTGCTACTTACAACACCAGTGAAACCTAGTAAAAGCATGGTTGGACTCACTTGGAGCTTCCTTCTCCAGTGACAGCCGCCGCTGACGAGACTAAGGTAACCCAGCTAAACTAGACGGAGCAGCAGACCTGCTAAACCTAAACCAACCTGCCGTCTGCCATCTCCTACCCTTCTCCCCCTCCCTCTCGTCTCATAATTCAGCATTCCAAAGATCGGACACAGACCTTGGAAGAATCAAGAGAATAATTACCTCATTAACTAGAAACCAAGAGGGTTTATCTCACATTGTCTTCCAGTCCTATCACGCGACGACGTGCCCTACCCTCCCGCTCCTACCTCAGCAGCTAGCTCCAGGTGCTATATGCAGAGCCTCCCGTCCTTTCTGTCATCGCCAATCGACTTCCATTCGCATCCTGCATCTCCTTGCTGGACCAGTCGCATCCTCGGATCGCTTACATCACCGCGAAAGCTGTCGGTCTGAAGGAGCGGAGATAGAGAGAACAACAAGGGGGAGGCTAAAGCTACCTTCCTTCTTATCTTGATCGGCTGTCGTCCCTCACGCCTACCTTCGCTTTGAAATTGTCGCTTGCGAGGCCTTCTGGCCTCCCATAACCGAAGGTATGACTGCGATCGCAAACGCGTGTCTGTCCTGTCTATCGGCAGTCGACCGCTGGTGTCATATCACGGCCTGTCTTGGTCCTGTCGGAGGTCGCTCGCGAGATGGAATTTATGAGACAACGCTAGCAGACAATGAGCGGGAGGCCGTATCCGACCTGCTCGGTTACTTGGAGAACGTACGTCTAGCTTTGTCGTCTATGCACCTGCGCTTCGCATCTAACATATCTATCAACGTACTCGGACCTCTGTTTTGCTGTTGAAGCTGACTTTACTTGCGTTCTAGCGAGCCGAAACCGACTTCTTCTCCGGCGAGCCTCTTCGCGCCCTGAGCACCTTGGTTTATTCTGATAATGTGGACCTTCAACGAAGTGCTAGCCTGACTTTCGCTGAGATAACTGAGCGAGGTACGTCATATCGTTGCTATGAAACCAGAAGTTGGGACTGACGTTATTGTGATTGTCGCAGATGTGCGCGAAGTCGACCGGGACACGCTCGAGCCTATCCTCTTCCTGTTACAGAGCTCGGACATTGAAGTTCAAAGGGCTGCTAGCGCAGCTCTCGGAAATCTTGCCGTCAACGGTTTGTTACTCAATCCCATATCGTCCTCGAGTATTGCTGATGGGTTGTAGCCGAGAACAAGGTGCTCATTGTTGCCCTGGGAGGGCTGGCTCCTCTCATACGTCAGATGATGTCGCCCAACGTCGAGGTCCAATGCAATGCGGTCGGTTGTATCACCAATCTAGCGACTCATGAGGACAACAAGGCCAAGATTGCTCGGTCGGGAGCTCTAGGTCCATTGATCCGTCTAGCAAAATCCAAGGACATGCGTGTACAACGTAATGCCACTGGAGCGCTTTTGAATATGACGCATTCAGGTAAGTTGGACCGTGGGATAGAACGGTTCTGAGCTTGGCTGACTACTCGTGTAGATGACAACCGACAGCAACTCGTCAATGCCGGTGCAATCCCTGTGCTTGTTCAATTGCTCTCCTCTCCTGACGTCGATGTACAATACTACTGCACAACTGCCCTCAGCAATATCGCTGTCGATGCTTCGAATCGCAAGCGGCTCGCCCAGACGGAGTCACGGTTGGTTCAGTCTCTTGTTCACCTCATGGACTCTTCCACTCCCAAAGTTCAGTGCCAAGCCGCCCTTGCACTTCGAAACCTCGCTTCCGACGAGAAATACCAGCTGGAGATTGTTCGTGCAAAGGGCCTTCCGCCACTCCTGCGCCTGTTGCAGTCCTCATACCTTCCCCTCATTCTCTCTGCTGTTGCATGCATCCGCAATATCTCCATACATCCTCTCAACGAGTCGCCTATCATCGATGCAGGCTTCCTTAAGCCGTTAGTAGACCTTCTGGGTTCGACAGACAACGAAGAGATACAATGCCACGCCATTTCTACACTTCGCAACCTTGCCGCAAGCTCTGATCGCAACAAGGAGCTTGTTCTGCAGGCCGGTGCCGTACAGAAATGCAAAGATCTGGTCCTTCGGGTTCCTCTGAGTGTGCAATCTGAAATGACCGCTGCAATCGCTGTGCTGGCTCTCAGCGATGAATTGAAACCTCATCTGCTCAACCTAGGTGTCTTCGATGTGCTAATCCCCCTTACGAACTCCGAAAGTATCGAGGTCCAGGGCAACAGTGCTGCTGCCTTGGGCAACCTCTCCTCAAAAGGTACGTCGCCAGCCATCGCTCTACTACTCTCTCAATCGCGCAAGTACTAATAAGCACCAGTTGGCGATTACTCGATCTTCGTTCGTGACTGGGCTGACCCCAACGGCGGCATTCACGGTTATCTCAAAAGGTTCCTTGCAAGCGGCGACCCTACCTTCCAGCACATTGCCATCTGGACTCTCCTTCAATTGCTGGAATCGGAGGACAAGCGGCTCATCGGCTACATATCCAAATCCGAAGATATTGTACAGATGGTCAAAACGATCTCGGACAAGAACATCGAATCTGACGAAGAGGATGGGGAGGATGGTGAGGCCGAGGTCATTGCGCTGGCACGGCGATGTCTCGGTTTACTCGGAAACGGTCCAAAACAGACTCTTGTCGAAGGCTAATGCGATGCTATCCCATAATTGTCACCTTCCATCGCTTCATTCCTTCTCGTTCATATCTTGACGTTTCTTCTTACCATTCTCAACACATCGGACCTTTACTTACCACAGGGTGCTAAGCGGGCATTGATTCGGTGTCTTTTCTTACGCTTATTTCCTTCGTCAGCGAGCATTTGGTGCGTTTATGGATTCCCGCTAGAATTCTCATCCATAATTGTCTGTTCGTCTATAGTTTTCTTTCAGGACTGTCACGCTTATTTTACCCTGCTTGTGCTGCACATGAATACTGTATTGATGCTAGAACAGATTTAAAGGTCATAATACTTTGAATCGCAGTATACCTAGATTTAGTGAGAAACAATCCATCTCTTCATCAATTTCTCATCGATATGTTTATGCATCTGTGAAGGCGTTGGCTAAATTGCTATAGACCGGGGAAACCTCCTTCCGAGCCGGTCTCCGCAAGACATTGCAGCAAAAATTACTCCGTAGCTTCCAGCTTCCAGCTTCCAGCTTCCTTTTCCAAACCAAAATCCAACATCCTTTTTGCACCTTGGGGAAGAAGATTGCCACTTCTTAGTGGCGCTCAGTTGAGATGGCAAGCAGTCTACCCTCTTTGGCTATTCCAGGTCAGCGCCTGGGGCCAGTGTCTTCTTACTCTGCAGGACCAGGTACCCACGTACAGAATGCCAACATTTATGCATCCATTGCTGGACCAGTGGTTGTCCAACAAGCTCAACCCAGCTCCAAAGTAAAATCTATCCTCAGCGTCTCGCGGAACTTGCCGAGGAAAACGGACCCTTCTACCTCGACCACACCTGCATATACGACCACCACTACGAAACCCAAACTGAGGTACAACACTCTCCCCGCTGTCGACTCGATTGTGTTAGCACGCGTCACCCGTGTCCAGAAACGCCAGGCCACAGTCTCCATCCTCGTCGTGCTCGACGAGTCGGCTGGTTCCCAAAACCCCGATCCGTCGAAGACGGCTTCAGACAACGACAACATTGTCTCCATCCTCACTTCGGCGGCCAATCCTGAGAATCACAGTAGCTCCGACGAGCTTCGCTTCCAGGCGCTTATCCGGAAGGAAGATGTGCGTGCTGTTGAGAAGGACCGCGTTGTGATGGATGAGATGTTCCGTGTTGGAGATATTGTGCGTGGTTCCGTCATTTCCCTGGGTGATCAGAGTTTCTATTATCTTACCACTGCGCGCAATGACCTTGGCGTCGTCATGGCACGTAGCGAGGCTGGCAATATGATGTTTCCGGTTAGCTGGAAAGAGATGAGAGACCCCGTCACTGGTGCTGCAGAATTGCGAAAGGTTGCTCGGCCGTTTTGAGTGGTGTCGACGGTTGGATGACGCTTGAGATTGAAATAAATCGGCGTCGCCTATTATCGAACTTCATACCATTGATATTTTCAATAAGATCATCTCGCCGACGCTCTGGGCATGTCTTCTGGACATTCCAGAGCGAGATAGATCTCGGAAACCTGGTCGTGCGAGAAGAACTCACGATCCGCGGGTTTCTTCGGTCCTTAAAGGGGCCGTTGGACTATGCCTTTGTTCTACACAGGCATTCGATCTTCCATATAGCGAGCTGGGACATGTCGGCGTAGCGCTGGCGAACAAGCATACACATTAGATACCCATATGTTCAGCTCGTTTGCGAACAATATCCTCCAGCCTCACCACCTATGAGGCCGTTAGCATGGAAGGACCTATTCTATTTACTCATTCTTAACTTTTCAAACGAGAATGAAGGAATCTTTTCTCCCGTTTCCGATCCTGGTGACATATCCTATTAGTTCATTCCTTCACCTCCCTAGTATCCATGGTTCTGGCCATTTCAATGCTGAACTGTGTTTGTCACGGGAGGAAGATTAATGGTTTGTTCCGCGTGGGGGACTACTCATCTTCCACGACCCTCGCCTACTATTCCTAGTCCTTGATTGATGGATGTGGAAAAATCTCTTTCGAGGGCACAAATTTCGTATCTCTGCAGTATCTATTTGTAAGATGGTAGGCATGGACTCTTTAGATTCCGCAAAAAATCTCAAATTTCTCATTTTATCACAATAACTACAATCTACTTCTTCAACGTCTTCTGCTTCTCCGCATCAATCAACTTCCTACCCTGAACAACCAACCCCTTCCTCTTCCGCACGGCGTCCATATACCGTTTCGCCACATTCTCACGGTCAGCCAACTCTCCCAAATCCTCCAGTTCCTCCTCCGTAGCCGGGACCCAGAACGGATCTTCGTCTAGGGCCTCGAAGCCCGCGAAGATGAGTTGCGGCTGTGCAGCACCCGATGTCCGTTTGCGGATTTCCTCAGCGAAGCCGAATGATTCGGCGACGGGGAGGAGAGCCAGGATGGTGAAGAAGGGGGTTCCTTCTTTCATTGTTTCGGAGAGGATACGGCCGCGGCGGCGGGTGATGACGCCGTAGACACGGCCGAGGACCTCAGCTATTGTAGCAGTGTTAGTCTGTGTTTGAGCTGCGCAAGATGGGACAGGGTGATTGGGTCTGGGACTAATCGTACTTGAAGCTTGGATCTCGCAACTGTACATTGCAAGCATGATCCGGGGACTCCAGTCGAGGAAACCTTGGGTAATACTCTCGCGGACTAGTCGGATGACTTCGCCTGTCAGGCGACCGAGGTCCAGTTCTTCTTCGCTGGCGTTGATGGATAGTTCTTCCAGGAATACGGCGATGCCTTGGATAGGTTCATGACAGAGAGGGCCTTGACCTGTCGCGAGCTGGAAGGCGTGCGCGAGCTTGTCGTTGAAGTCGCGGACCGTCAGTGCGTCACGGCTGCTTTCTTCGGTTGTAGCGTTGGGTTGCTGTTTGGGGTCGTCGAGCAGGCTGCGCCAGTTAGGTTGAGGAAGTTGTCGGAAAGGATGTCAGACTTACAATTTCTCGCAGGTGTTCACCGCTGTGGCGTCTACCAAGATGTTCGGTCCAACTCGTCGAGGACCGAAAGCAGTGATTCGGTCGACGACATTTGCCCATAATTCTTTGTCCTCCTTGACTTCCTCGTTGAAAATCCTGGTGAGTTCCTTTTTGAAGTCCTTCAAGGAAAGTTGACTGCCCTCTCGGGCTTCTCCAGAAGCATCGCCGGACTCAACTTGTTGTGTGGTCTCCAACGACCCGTTGCTTGCTTCTGCGTCGGATTTGGTCTCACCCGCCGAGCGTTCCTCGGACTGGAGACGCTTAATTGTTCCAACGTTCTTGGAGATGAAGTCCGTCACTGCTTCAGGTAAGGGCACAACGCGCAACTTGACAGTCAGCTGTTTCGAAGGAGAAACGGCCAACACACATCCTCGGCCAAGTTCTGGTTTCTTTGGAGGCGCCATTTCCGGCGCGCTGACAATTGTTTCCCGGTATGGTACGATTGTCTGACCGGTCTGGATCTCGCATTTGGCAAAGCGCTCGCGGAGATCTTTTATGCAGCGCTCAAGATGCAATTCACCGGCAGTCAGGATCACATGCTCACCGCTAGGGAGGACCTCATATTGTGCACAAGGATCACTTTGTTCGAGGAGGCGCAGACCGGTAACCATCTTGTTCAGGTCTGCAGGGTTGGCCGGCTCAAGCGAAACTCTTACAATCGGTGGGGCGTTTAGCGAGACGCCAGCCAAGTTGATACTTCCTTCAAGCTGAGAGCAAAGAGTTCCGTTCTTGAGGACATGACCTGCAAGGCCACCGATACCGAAAATCACTCCCGCGGGAACAGTCTTGAGCGGCTCCAGGCTCCTGCCCATGAGGAGATATAGATCCGTGACTGTCACCTTCTGTGGCTCAGGGTGTGCATGAGGATGCGCCGGAGAGAATTTGGGTGCCAGCACATAGACCTCATCACCAACAGAGAGGGTGCCTGAGTACAGTCGTGCAAAACCAATCAAGTGCTCCGGATCTTCCTTATCCTCTGGTTCCCCTTGTTCCTCGCCGTCGTCTAACGTGGTCACTTCGAACGCTGAAGTGATCCGCGCGTAGTTGTCCGTGTCATTTCCGTTTCCTCCTGCCTCCGCCTGCATCTTTGCAATCTCCTCTCGCTTCTTGCGTGCAATTTCGCGGGCTTCGTCTGCTGACAAGGTCGCACCGGCGCGCTTTTTGCTAGACAGTAGCTCACTTTCAGGAATCGCAACCATCTTGCTGACATAGGCTACCACAGGAGCGTCTGTGCCTGTCTTGAACGCCACCATTGCTTCCTTGACCTTCTTGTCGACAAATTCAGCACCAGGGGAGCCTTCAATTAGTCCTGGTAGTCGAGTGGCTTGGGCAGCCGGTGGGCTGGGAAGATATTCAATAACAGACACCAAAACAGCAGTTGATAACGGAAGCCACATGGAGAACAAGGTCATCATGACGTTTCTGGGATCCCGTGAGCGAAGAATATAAGGCGGAATGGTGATGTTCAAGGATTTGGTGATCTTTTCCAACAAAGCTGGATCTCTAATAGAACATCAGTATCAAAACAAACTCCAATCTCGGCTAATGCAAAATACCCTTTGCCTTTGCCTCCACCAGTTGTAGCTTCGTATGCAGCCCAGATACTGTCTAACACCAATTGAACAAACATTGGCTTGAGGGCCCGTCCTTTCAAATGCTTCGGCCCCAAGACACGTTTTGTCTTAGGGTCAAGGTAGAAGTCTCCCCATAGCACTTTCTCAAGAATCGACCGTTTGATCCCTAGTTTCCTCTCGTAGAGGGCGGCAAATTGGCGAACGGTGAAAGCCCAGCCATCGATGGCACTACAGAAAATGACATTGTTTTTCTCCGGAGCGAAGTAGATTTCCTCATCGTCCTTTTCCTCAAATTCCGCCTCATCGACGCTGCTCATGTTTGTCTCATCGCCTTGTTCCTGCTTCTGAGCTGTTCGAGCAGCGGAGGCATTGATACGGTCTTCCATACGCTCTCGCCACTGGAGGTCTTCCTCCATCCGTTCGCCTTGGTAGAAACTTCCGATGACAGCGTTAACTTGCTCTAAGAGTCTG